AGAGATAGAGGCAGAAAGATCAGAAATTCACAGTCATTCCTGGCTACATAGCGAGTTCGAAGCTAGCCTGAACTACTGCATCGTGAGACAAGAGTGGGAAGAGGGAGAGAAAAAAGGTGTGTGTGTGTGTGTGTGTGTGTGTGTGTGTGTGTGTGTGTGTGTGTGTGATTGAAAGACAGTTAAAGAAAAAATAGATGGAGAGGCAGGAAAGCCAATGATGGCAGCCAAGCGGCTAGAAAGCAATGGGTGTCTGAGGCTTGCACTCAGCAGCTGCAATGGGAATGATGACAGAAATGTAGATTCAAGTCCGGCCTAGTGGCATACACATGTAATCCCAGCATTTGAAAGATGGAGGTGAAAAGATTAAGAGTTCAAGACCAGCCTCTGCTACATAGTAAATACAAGCCTAGGCTATATGAAACTCTGTCTCACGGGTTTAAAACAAGTAAATTCATGACTCATTGAGCTAGGAATGTAAGTATGCAGCTTAGTGATCGAGTGCTTATCTAGAATGTGAGGCCTTGGGTTTGATGATGCACAGGAAAGGTATATATTTAGGAGAAAAAGTCAGTAGGACATCTGATACTGCCCAGTTTTCAGGCCTCAACAGCTGAATGGATGGTGGATGATGCCATTCACTAAGACTAAGTTAAGCACTCTGTTCTAGACATTGTTCTATTGTTGTGATCAGACAGTGACCAAGGCATCTCTCTCTCTCTCTCTCTCTCTCTCTCTCTCTCTCTCTCTCTTTCCAGACAGGATTTCTCTGTGTAGCCTTGGCCGTTCTGGAACTTACGCTGTAGACCAGGCTGGCCTTGAACTCACAGAGATCCTCCTGCCTCTGCCTCCTGAGTGCTGGGACTAAAGGCATGCGCCACCAGGCAGCTCCAAGGAAACTCTTTGGAAGAATTTAACTGGAGACTTGCTTACAGTGTCAGAGACTTGGTCCATCATCATCAGGGCAGGGAGCATGGCAGTAAGTAGATGTGATGCTGGAGAAGGAAGGAGCTGAGAGCTGACCCACAAGCAGAGAGGTAGAGGGAACCTGCTTGGCCTGGTGTGGGCTTTTGAAAGCTCAAAGCCCATTCCTAGAGACATATTTCTTCCAGTAAGTCCACATCTCCTAGTCCTTCTAATCCTCTCAAATAGTGGTCATTTTTATTTAAACCAAGTTCAAAAGTTCCCACAGTCTATCACAGTCTCAACACTGTTTAAAAGTCCCAAGTCTCTTCTTAGACTTGGGGCAATCTGTTAACTGCAATAAAAAAAAATAACAGATCACATACTTCCATCATACAGTGGCACAGAATGTACATTGCCATTCCAGAGGTGGGGAAAGGGGACATAGGTTGGAAATAATGGACCAAACCAAGACCAAAGACAGCAAGGTAAACCCCAAACTCTGCATCTCCGGGTCTGATATCCAAGTGCTCTTCAGAGTGCCGGTTCAGCTTTGTTAACTAAAACACACTTGTCTCTCTTGAGCTGGTTCCACACCCAGTCTGCAGCTCTCCTTAGCTGGTATCCCAGGACTCTGGCATCTCCAACATCTTGGGGTCTGCAACCCAATCCAGGCTCCTCCTTCACAGCTTCACACAATGGTCTCTCTGGGCCTCCATGCAGGTACACTTGGCCTCATCAGCTTCCCTTAGCCCTTGAGGGAGATTCTACAACTTGGCCAAAGCTGCCAAGTTCTGCCGATTGCTGGAGCTGGAATTTGGCCCCCTGGGTTCAGTAACAATTGTATCAACTTTCTATTGTTGATGGCAGAGGTTGCAAATCAGTCCACAAAGTGAGTTGTTTAAAGGAACTTCCAAATTTAGAAATTCGGGTTTTTGTTTTTTTCTCACTAAGAATCTAAATTCTGGGCTGTGGAGATAGATTCATGAGAAAATGCTGACCACAGGGTCACAAGGATCTCAGATTCCTAAAAACCCATGTGAAAATTGGGCATGGTGTTGGCTTGGAATCCCAGCGCTGGGGAGGCTGAGGTCCTGGGACTTGCTAGCCAGCCAGCCTCGTCTCCTTAGTAAATGCCAAGACAGTGAGAGGGAACAATGGCAGCCCAGGGCTGGCACCTGAAATGGGCTTCTGACTTGTGTATGTGTAGGCACAAGCCCACACCTGTGTCAGCTTATACACACAAATCTGAACCTCTGGTGAGAACTTCCACCCTCTCTCTCTCTCTCTCTCTAAGTCTCAGAAGACATGCCAATACTTGGCCTGCATTCCTTTCCTTCTTGGTTAAGGGTAACAGCTGGCCCTTTCACTAAAGCATGCTTGAGTTATAGTCTTACCACGCGCATACATGCATGCAGCTGGACTGTGTAAAACTTGAGTTTGTAACTTCAGTGTAAACCATGGCTTGATGCTCGGTGAACTTTGCCTGGTGGATAGTGTTATCGATATTTATCATATCTTCAGAAAAAACTCTAAACATACCCTCTTTTCAAATTCTCCAGTGCCTTCCTAGCACAGTCACCTAAATGGAGGTGAAGGCCAGCTGTACAGGCCTGTAAGCTCTGAATCTGGAAGCTTAGGGACAGCTAATTCAGGGCCAGTGAGACTGTCTCAAAATACAGTAACAGAAATCAAGCAAAAAAAAAAAAAAAAAAAAAAAAAAAATCCAAAACAAAGCAAAGCTTTGGGGGGCGGTGCTCCCTGACTCCCCTGTACTAGTTATCTGTCACCGTGAGTTACAGTTGCAAGGTCAGATGACATAACTGTTTTGTTTTTCCAGATAAAGTTTCTCTGTGTAACCCCGGTTGTCCCAAACTCACTCTGTAGACCAGGCTGGCATCAACTCAGAGATCCCCCTGCCTCTGCTTCCACAGTGCGGGAGTAAAGGGGTGTGTCACTGTTTCTTGGGCACTGGAATTATACTTGTATACTACCATACCAGGTCCAGAAGTCATATCGTTAAATAAAAAAATTATCTATTTGTGTGTGTGCACATTCGTGTATAGAACAGAGAACAACTTTTGGGAGTCAGCCCCAGCCTTTCATCCTTTTTTTAAAAAATTTATTATTATTGCTTCGAGGTGGTGCCACACACCTTTAATCTCAGCATTCAGGAAGCAGAGGCAGGTGGATCTCTGAGTTTGAGGCCAGCTTGGTCTACAGTGTGAGTTCCAGGACAGCCAGAACTACACAGAGGAAACCCTGTCTGGAAAAACTAAGAGAGAGAGAGACAGAGAGAGAGAGAGAGAGAGAGAGAGAGAGAGAGAGAGAGAGAGGAAGAAGAAAAAGAGAAAAATCTTATTAAAAGAGTCTGAGCAGTGACCCAGCAGTTAGAAGCACTGGCTGATCTTCTAGAGGATCCAAATGTGATTCCCAGCACCCACATGACGCCTCACACCCCTGTGCCATCTGTAACTCCAGTCCTAGGGAATGATCCCCTTTCTGACCTCTGAGGACACTCCATGCACATGATACCCAGACACACATGCAGATGAAACATCCATCCACATAAAATAGCAAAATAAAGATGTTTACTTTAAATTATGTGTATGTATGTTGGGTGGGTGTGTACAAGTGTGAATTTACGTGCCGCCTGTAAGACCAGAAGGTATCCAAGTCCTTACACTCTTGGATGTTGTAAACTATCAGCATGGGTGCTAAGAATCTAACTTGGGGCTTCTAGAAGGGGAGAACTGACACATCTCTCTAGACTCCCATGTACAGTTTTAAAAGGTATATTCCATTGTCTCTAATATGTGAATATGAGATAACGAACTCAGTTTTCTGTTACTATCTGGCCCTTGTCTAGTCCTTTTTCATGTCTGTGTTTATCCGTATCATTGATAAACTACAGAAGAATGGCGGTATGCCCTTTTTAAGGCAGGGTCTTAAGAGCATTACAGCTTGCTGTTTCTGTCCTGCTTTACTGTCAAGCGCATCCTTTCTCAGTAACACAGCTGGATCTTTTACCCAAATTAGGTAAAATTTTGCTTCCTAAGCAGGATCTGGAGATCCGCTCGCCCATGGGGGATCTTAGACTCGTACCGGTGTAATATTTATATAAAACTGCACATTAAAAGTTGGGCTAGAGACCGTGGTGGTGCACGCCTCTAAATCCCAGCACTTGGGAAGCAGAGGCAGGCAGATAACAGTGAGTTCAAGGTCAACCTGGTCTACAAAATGAATTCCAGGACAGCCAGAACTGTTATACAGAGAAGCCCTGTTCGAAACAAAAAAATCCCAAAAAAAGATTTCTTCCTGGGCCTTGGTGGCGCACACCTTTAATCCCAGCACTTGGGAGGCAGAGGCAGGTGGATCTCTGTGAGTTCGAGACCAGTCTGGTTTACAGAGCGAGTTCCAGGACAGGCTCCAAAGCTACACAGAGAAACCGTGTCTGGGGCAGAAGTTAGTAAAAAAACAAACCTACTAGATGATTGGATTAAAAAAAAAAAAAACTGTGCTGCCCAAGAGCAAGATTTTTTATTTAGTTTTGTGGCCTCTCCCTTTTTCTTCTTTTCCTCTTGTTGTTCTTTAGACAGCCCTGACTGTCCTGGAATTCGCTTTATAGACCAGGCTGGCCTCGAACTCACATGGCTTCGCCCACCTCTGCCTCTGCCTCCCGAGGCGTGTGTCACAACCGCCCGCTCTAGCGCTGATTTTTAAATTACAATTATACCAACTTTGGACGACTTATTAAGAAACCCAGTTTCTTGCTCATTGTCGTCCTGTGATTTTTTTTTTTTTTTTACAAGACAAAACTTCCGTGAAGAGCAATTTCCTGAGCGCCATCCGGGTCCACAGGAAGAAAGCCCCGCCCCGGCGCCTCCGTGGCACACGTGACCCTGTGACCCGAGGAGCCATCTTACGGCTCGCCTCACAGAGGGGACTACAACTCCCAGAATGCCCGCGCATCGCGTCGTGCTGGCACTTTTACTGGCCCAGCCTTAGAGCCCAGGCTGTAGCCGGGCGCCATCTTTGACGCTGGCAGGCTGGGGTTTCTGCTTGTTCTGCTGCTGCTGCCGTGAGGACGGCGGGGCCCCGGCGGCCAAGCGGAGAGAAAGACGCGGGAGTCGGAGGCTGTGTCACCGGTTCGGTAAAGTTTCTGTTCTCTGGTAACTAGACCCCTTTCTTTTTTTGGACTCCCGGGTGACTCGGGGCCTGGGAGGGAGGAGAGGGCGAGGGGAGTGGCGGCGGCGGCGGCCTCCCCTCGCCCGGCTTTCGGCCTAGCCCGGGGAGTCGGAGCTGGGCCCATGAGCGCGGCGGCTGCCGGGACCCCGGCCCGCGGCCCTGCTGTGCCGAGCCCGCGGCCCCACGGCGGCTCGCTTCCCCTCCCGCCCCGCCCCCACCCGCCCCGGGCGCTGCCTCCCTCACCGACCTCTTCCCTTCCCCCCACATCCGGTGTTCCCGAACCCGGGATTCCGGGGTAGCCCCGGGAGAGCGGCTGTTTCGGACCCCCCCGAGGAGGAACAGACACCAGGTTGCTTTCCTTTCCCCCTCCAGAGCCGGTTGTTCAGTCAGCCGCCCTCCCTCCCTCCCTCCCTCCCCCCCCAAACCAGAAGCAGCGCCTGGACCCCGGCCCGCCTGCTCTCCCTCCTCTCTAGGGCCTTAACTACTTTGGAGATTTCCTCTCTCCCTCCCTCTCTCTCTCATATTCCCGACACACCCGTTCCCCCACCCTGATTACTCTCCCACCCCAGCCCTCGTGATCGAAGTCAACAGCCACAGGGACTCTTCGTTCTTGTAGGATTGGTGAGGCGGTAATGAAGAACACCCCTTAGACGCCCCCTAATCGGTGCGGATCCATCCCCATGGGGAAGGCGCGCTGTGTTGACATCTGCCAGGCTTTGGTTGTGAACCCCGAGAAAGCGGCTGTGGAGCTAGTGAGAGCATGCTTTCTTTCGTAGGGTAGACGTGTTGCTATTGGGGGAGGGGATCCACGGAAGAGGGGTGGAAGTTTAAAGCTCATTTTTAGTTTTGTTGCTCTTTGGAATGTCAGCTTGTGAGTTATTAACAGGCTGGGACGTTTTTTGCTTCACCCTGAAAATATGAACTCTTGATAGAAACCGTAAATGAAAAATATAGCTTGTTACCTTGTTTTAAAGTTTTATTTCCAGATTAATTTTTTTTTCAGCCACCTACATTTTTCAAAGTTGTCAGAACAGGAAGGGCACAACTAGTTTACTGCTTATGACCAGTGTGTGGGATCTGATTTAGCTTTCCACAGTTGACTTTGTGGGCTGTATTGGCCAATTACAGCCTTCTGTGCTGTCGGTTGAATGATGCACTGTGTGTTTAAGTGACATGTCCTGAAAATACTCCCCAAATTAAGGAAAAGCCATTGTCGTGTGGATTGATTGAAAGTACACATTTCTAAGAACCGAAGGTGTTTTTAGTAGACGAAGTTCTTGATACAGCAGCATTAATATGAACCTTCAGTTGGAAGGCCTGACCTTTAGCTGCTCCAGATTCCATGACTGTGGGAAAGTGGACCTCGGTTCTTTTTTTCTGTAAGATGAGGACTCTGGACTATTTGAATTCAGAAAGTTAAAAGGACTCCTAAAGCCCCACAAGACAGCGTTTGGGAATGTTCTCCATTGCTGTCATTTTTCCTCCAAAAATAACCCGGCTTGGAAGTCACAGGTTGGAAGGGAACTTGACTCCCCATAGAAACTGGAGGGAAGGGGATACAAGTGAAGAGGGACAGCTGTGTTCCTGCCAGAGTAGGAAACCCACCAAAAGGCTCTGGGAGACATACAGAGAATGAGTATATGTACTTTAAGTGTACCAGTTTCCTCGATTTCTCCTGGCAGAAGATGCAGTTCTTTCGGTGATGCTGGGATTCTGGAATGTGTTTCCATTAATTCAAATACAGAAGACGACGACGATGTGGTAGAGAGAAAGATGGTGGCAGAAGGCGTGAATAAAGAGACAAAATTGCCCGCTAAAAAGAAAAGAAAGAAGGGTTTGCGGATTAAGGGGAAAAGGCGCCGAAAAAAATTGGTTCTTGCCAAGAAATTTAGTAAGGACTTGGGGTCTGGAAGGCCTGTTGCAGATGGCCCTGCCTTGTTAGCGTCCAGTGCCCCTGAGCAGGATGAAGAAAGTCTTTTTGAGAGCAATATAGAAAAGCAAATCTATCTACCCAGTACCAGAGCCAAGACCTCCATTGTATGGCATTTCTTTCATGTTGACCCCCAGTATACCTGGAGAGCTATTTGTAACCTGTGTGAGAAAAGCGTCAGCAGGGGCAAGCCAGGCAGCCATCTTGGTACGTCTACCCTTCAGCGACATCTGCAGGCAAGGCACTCTCCTCACTGGACCAGAGCCAACAAGTTTGGCGTCGCGGATGGGGATGAGGACTTTACCTTGGATTTATCTTTATCTCCTTCTTCTCCTGGAAGCAGTGGAAGCTTTGAGTATATTCCTAGTGATTCATTAGATGAAAACAGAATGGGTAAGAAACGTGATAAGTCAGCATCCGATGCCCTGAGGGCAAAAAGGGGGAGATTTCTCATCAAAAGCAACATTGTCAAGCATGCCTTAATTCCTGGAACCAGAGCCAAGACATCTGCAGTTTGGAATTTTTTTTATACTGATCCTCAGCACATCTCAAGAGCTGTGTGTAACATCTGTAAAAGAAGTGTGAGCCGGGGCAGACCAGGTTCCCACTTAGGAACGTCAACACTTCAACGACACCTTCAGGCCACACATCCCATCCATTGGGCTGTTGCCAACAAAGACAATGGTGCTATTGGAAATGGATTAGATGAGACTGAGACTGAGGGCAGCGATCTCTTGACTGACACTTTGCATGGAGAGAAGTCATCAGGCAGCCAGGATTTAACAGCTGAGGACCTTAGTGACTCTGATACTGATGAACCTCCTGTTTTAGAGGTTGAAAATAGATCTGAGAGTCCTGTTCCTGTTCCAGAGCAAGATAATCTGGTGCATGCACAAGAGAGAGAAGCAATACCACATTGTGAAAATGCAGCCTCCAGCCAGATAAGTCAGGCAGTTATTCAGATGATTGTGGAAGATATGCACCCTTACAACTATTTCTCAACCCCAGCTTTTCAGAGGTTTCTGCGGATTGTTGCTCCTGACTATAGGTTGCCGTCAGAGACTTACTTTTTCACCAAAGCCGTACCTCAGTTATATGATTCTGTTAGAGAAAAAATTTTCTTAACTTTAGAGAATGTTCAAAGCCAAAAGATCCACCTGACTGTTGACATATGGACCCATGACCCTTCCACTGACTATTTCATTGTGACTGTACATTGGGTCTCTTTGGAAACTGCATCTTCCCCCAGTAATGGTGGGACCCCCAATTTTAGAAAGTGGGCAGTACTTTGTGTTACAGGTTTAGCCAAAGACTGTTTGATAACCAACATTTTACAAGAATTAAATGACCAGATTGGTCTGTGGCTTTCTCCTAATTTCCTTATCCCTAGCTTCGTTGTTTCTGACAATTCCTCCAACGTGGTACATGCAATCAAAGGCGGTGGCTTTACCCATGTGCCATGCTTCCTGCATTGTTTAAATATAGTGATTCAGGACTTCTTCTGTGAGCACAAAAGTATTGAGAACATGTTGGTGGCTGCTAGAAAAACCTGTCATCATTTTAGCCATTCAGTGAAAGCCCGCCAGATACTACAAGAGTTCCAAAACGACCACCAGCTCCCATGGAAGGATCTGAAGCAGGATGAAACTGGCCACTGGATTTCTACCTTTCATATGTTAAAATGGCTTTTAGAGCATTGCTACTCTGTTCACCATAGTCTGGGTAGAGCCAGTGGAGTCGTGCTTACCTCCCTTCAGTGGACTCTAATGACTTATGTTTGTGATATTCTTAAGCCATTTGAAGAGGCGATCCAGAAAGTGAGTGTAAAGACCACAGGATTGAATCAGGTGCTACCCCTAATCCATCATCTCCTCTTTTCCCTGCAGAGACTCAGAGACGATTTTCAAGTCAGAGGTATTACTCAGGCCCTCAATCTGGTGGACAGTTTATCTTTGAAACTTGAAACGGATGCCCTACTAAGTGCCATGCTCAAATCCAAGCATTGTATCTTGGCTACTTTGTTAGATCCTTGTTTTAAGAACAGTTTGGAAGACTTTTTTCCTCAAGGTGCTGATTTAGAAACTTATAAACAGATTCTTGCAGAAGAGGTTTGTAATTATATGGAATCTTCGCCCGGGGCCTGCCAAATTGCAACCTCAGAAGCACCTGGTCCCTTAGTTAGATTAGGAACTGATTCATTTACTTCTATAAAAGAAGGCACCTCCAGTTCAGGTTCTATGGATAGCTCAGTCGTAGACAGTGTTGCCATTGGAAGCAAAGGCTTCCTGTTTCCCTCTGCTGTAGCAGTAGTGGATGAGTACTTCAAAGAGAAGTATTCTGAGCTTTCAGGAGGTGATGACCCTTTGGTTTACTGGCAGAGAAAGGTGAGCGTGTGGCCAGCTTTGACCCAAGTTGCCATTCAGTATCTAAGTTGCCCCATGTGTAGTTGGCAATCTGAGTGCATGTTTACCTCAAACAGTCGCTTTCATCCAAAGCAGATCATGAACATGGACTTTGATAATATAGAACAGCTGATTTTTCTGAAAATGAACTTGGAGAATGTTAACTATGACTATTCTACATTGAATCTGAGCTGGGACCCTGAAAATAAGGCTGTTCAGAACAATGAAAAAGAAATATTACCTTAATTCCTTTTTTCCTTTTCTACTTAAAATGGGCAGCTTTTGCTATATTACTATATCTCATTGCTATTGTTATTATATGTAGTCAGACTATTCTTAAAGAAAAAAATAGCTGGGTGTGGTCTCGGGTACCTGTAGTCCTGGCTATTTGAGGTGGTGAGGCTGGATTATAACTTTAGCACATGAGTTTGAGACCAGCCAAAATGCAAAACCTGGGGAAATCCAAAAGTACAAAAAGGCTGAAAACTCCAAAGAGGCAATATGATGTTGATAAAATGAAGGTTAACTTTGAAGATTTCACAGTTGTAACTCAGTGTAGCTAACTTCTAAGTGTCATTTGTATCAATTGAGGGAGAAAAGGGTGTTACTGAGAAAACACAGTGCAACTTTGAAGGGCTTAGGTATTTCTGGTTGGTAAATTGAACTAGTCATTGATTTGAGTAAAAATTTCTTCCGTCACGGAAGGTTTGATTACTCTGAAATCAGTGACTCAGGACTTTTGTGAGCACAAACGCCTTTAGAATGTGTTAGTGGCTGCACTAACCTTTCTTTCCCTTCCCTATTTAATTTCTTTAAAACCCCTGACTCAGCTTGACAGAATGAAAACCCATAAAATTGTTTCATATTTGAAAATTCATAATTGCCTCATACTGGTCTGTTTACAATGTCAAATTACTGGCTATGGTAAAATTGCCCTATATATTTAGGATTAGGTCTGTATAAAAGGGGAACAGTACAAAACAATTGGAAAAAAGACTTTTAGTCTTTCATAATATAGTAGAAAAACAAGGATTGCATAGGTGCTGTTGTAGTAACTTTTTAGTAAAAAGCATTACATGTAAAATCAAAAACCATTGATTGGAATTTAGAATGCAAGCCCCATGAACATGGCAAACCCAGTATGAGTCTCCCAGATATATTTGTAAAGTTTGTTCATTTCTTTAAAAGGGTACTTTATGGTCCATGGCATGGTATTCCTAACTGGGAAGTTTGGACCACTGTATTAACTGAAATAAGCAGTTATATTTACTGGATTAGGCATCATTGTTTGAAATGAGTGAAGTGATCTCAGTGGCCCTTCAGGCTCCTTCCCACTCTGAGACTCTGTCTCCGTGACTGAGTGGGAGGCCAGAAAATGATCACTTTTATTAAGTCTATTAGACGTTTCAGACTGAATAACTAATGTAAGATCCCAATTTTTCCTTTTTTTCATTTTAGATTTTGGGATATTCCCTGCCCAAAAAATTCCTGGAAAATTGACTAGTATTAAGTGTGAGTAAAAGGTGTCCACTTTTTTTTATAGTCTTGATTTTAGTTTTGTCTTGGATAGTGCTTGGCAAGATTTAGCCTAGAAAGTATATAGTATTTATTACATAAGAATCAAAATGACTTTGTTATTGGGCTGGTTTTGAAACTCATTTCTGTGTATCAAAATAACTTTTTTTTTTTTAATTTTTAAATTCTTAAATGGTAAATGTACCATTTGTTGTGAAGTGAAATTTCATCTACCCCAAATTTACCCTTTTATCAACTGGAGTGAAGCCTTTAGCTATAACCATCAAGAGTAAAGAATCGGGAGCTAGTGTATCTATCACCAAGCCTTTGCAGGGCCCGCATCGAATGCCATGCCAGTGATGCTTGTGTTGGGATAAAGGAGGGAGAGAACTTCCTTTAGTGTCTCTGTGTTCGCCGAGCTGCTTCGGAATGGCTGTAACGCTGCTCTGCCTTCAGCTCGGTGCCCCGCTCTGCAGTTACTCTGTGACTATTCGCTTCTTCCTTTTTTGGTTAAACACTCCCTGATAATGACTGTTATACATATCATAGACATTGACATATACATCAGTGTATCCATATATATGGATTTCTTTTCATCTTGATTTTGTGGCTGGGTAAAATTCAGTAAAGTTAACTTCGTGGTACTTTGGTATAAGAGTAAGTTCACTATTTTTATAATGAACCCAAATCTGAAGGATTTTATATTATATTTTAAAAGGATAATTTACCCAAATGTTTTATTTCTATACATTTGTGTATGTGTATAAGCCTGTTAGTATATATGTATATGCATATTATATACATTAAACACTTTATATTTTTACATACAGTATGCTTTTATTATACAGATAATAAAGATGGGGGAAGGTTTCTGTTTTTTTTTTCTTAATAGGTGAAGAAATCTTGAAGACCAGAATTTGGATCTTATTGAATTTTGGTGGTGTTTTTTGTTTTTACTTTTTGTTTTTTCATTTTTCAATATTTTTCATCTTTTTATTTTTTAATTATATTGCTCAGCTATGGAAGATGGATTCTTTTTTTTTTTTTTTTTTTTTTAATTCTTTGAATCTCAAGTTCATCTTTAAATGAACTTTTTTGTTTTTTGAGGAGATAACTAATACTAGCTGTCTCCAGTCTGACAGAGGTTATGCAGATGGACTTAATCTTCCAGGAGTTGGGAGATATTTTAAAGATGTTTTAAAAACACTTCCTGTGTTTCAATTGTGGCTGAGGGGTTTCCTTGGCAATGTGAGGAAGAAAACTCTTTCTACCTCATTATTATTAATTCATGGATTGAGTGTTGGTTCGACCTACAGGCGTAATAGCTTGGAACTCAGTGAAGACACAGATGTCCCTGTTGAGAGCAACCAGCTAATGTAAGTGGAGATGGGTCTTAATCATGAAAGCAGTAAACACTGTCATTTAAGGCATGCTGGACTAATAACAAATTCAAATGTTATTGACTAACTTTTTTTTTCTCGTGATTTTTTTTTTTTTTTTTTTTTTTTTTTTTATATATAAGCTTTTAATGTTTGAATGGAAATTAACTTTTTTTCCTGGTGCTGAGGTGAAACTTAATTCTGTTCTCTTGGAGAAAAAGCATTGTTACTTTGTTACCGGATAGCTCCTTGTCCATACTAGTGGCTCTTATTTTGTCTTTTTAGTAGCTATGTAGTATATATTTCACTGAATGGGTATGTCATAATGTATAACTCATTGGGCAATACTGCAGGTTTTGCCATTTAAACAAAAAAGTCCTGCATCCTGTAACAGTTTGGTGCACACGTCTGTGTGAACCTAGAACCAGTTCATTCATAGAGTAGTTACATTACTCTTGAAGAACTAACAATTTACTGGACACCAGAGGCCTGCCTAATCACAGAAGCTGTTGATTGTATCCCTTTTAGTAAAGTTATCAAATCTGGCCATTTTGCTGATAGCTTGATTATTGCTATGTGAATGTTTTCTCTTTTTGTTACTTTTGCTGTTAATGGTTTTTAACTTTAGTATTATAGGAAAAGTTTTTACTCAATACATTGTTAATTATACTTTATTCAGAAGCTGTTTAAGGATTACAGTTACATAACATAAGCCTCTGCATTTGGGGGGGATATTGTCAGCTGTGGCTTGTCTTTTTGCTGAGTGCTTTTATCAGTTCTATGTGGTTTTTAATATAGAACTCTAATTAAGGCTCTAACACTTCTGCCATTATGGGACTTTACAGAGACTTTTTCTCAAATGGCTGGCTTTATTGTCAATTTCAAACTTTTTTTATAACCAAATTTGTTGACTTTTTGCATTGCTGGTTTGTGTAGTTGTTTATATTCTGCATTTAACTATTTTTATATTTATCATCTGTATCAGAGCAAAACTCTTCCATTCCTTTTTTTCTTTTCGTTTTCATGTGTGTGTAGTATGTATGTGTATGCATGTTTGCATGTATGTGGGGGTGCATGTGGAGGTTCCAAGATTATGTTGAGGATCTTCTTCCTTGTGTCTTCCAGTCAAACCCAGATCTCACTGATACACTGATCTTTGGATACTCTTAACAGCTAGCTCCTTGTGGGGCTTCTTTTTAACCCTTTCAGGGATGGGCTTCTTAGATGGGGACTGCCTTGCCCACATGGCATTTCATGTGGGTTCTGGAGATCCAGAACTCTGGTCTTTAATGCTTGTACAACAGCGAACCCTGTAACCTCTGAGCCAGCTCCTCAACCTTCTCAGCTGTTGATAGTGGATCTTACAGTCTTACATTGTAGGAAGAAATTGCTCTTGGTATTTTGAATTGTATTCAGGGTATTTATTGCTTGGGTGCTGAAGTAATTTCCTCAATCCTGTATTGCCCCAATTATGAATTACCCAGGTCTTTTATTCCTAGTCACTGCTTAGCATTTTGTATGTAATATGGTTCTTGTATGTTTCATTTTCACCATCTTTTATAGCCTTCCTCTGAATTGTTATCTGAAGGGAACAAATGTACCGTTTGGTGTTATCTTTGATAGTCTTGCTATTTTCAGTACTTTCTAGTTGGTTGTTCGATTCGCTAGTTTGTAAGCTTGTAATTTGCAGACATTGCCTTGTGGTGTCATCTCCCCACTCCATGGTTTCTCTGTGTAGCCCTGGCTGTTCTGGAACTTGTTCTGTAGACTAGGCTGGCCTCAACTCATATTTGCCTGCCTCTGCCTCCAGAGTGCTGGAATTAAAGGTGTGAGCCACCACACCCTGGATTGCTTTTTTAAGTCCCCCCCCCCCCCCGTCTGTATTTGTGCTCATGCTCATACATGTGCTGGAATGCTGGAGTGGAGTGGGTATTCCTTCGTCTTGAGTAAACTAGTGTTGTACTGTGGGTGTGTGTGTGTGTGTGTGCGCGCGTGCGCGCCTGCCTAATATTTATAAAGTCCTGGTTTGATTGCAGTAACAGCGGGGAGGGGAAGTAGTGGTAGGTTGGAGTTCTTTGTGGTTTAGTTTTGTCTTTATTGACCCGGGGGTGGGGTGGGTCTCTTGTATCCCATGCTGGCCTGGACTCAGTATGTGGCTGAGGATGGCCTGTGTATCACCACACTTGACTTTTTAACACCCCCCCCCAAGGTTTCTTTGTGTTATGTGTGTGCTTGCTTGAATGTGTGCGTGTCGTGTATCTGAACCTGTGCAGAGGTCAGAGGAGAACCTTGGATGTTGGTCCTGGCCTTCCACCTTGTTTCCAGTCTTGTTCACCTCTGTGAGGAGACCCCTGGGACTCTCTTGTCTCTGCCTCCCATCTTAAGCAGGAGCACTGGCGTTACAGGTTTGTGAGACCATGGCTTTCCTTGGGTCTGGGAATCTGAACTCGGATCTGCGTGCTTGTGTGAACAAGGGCTTTCTCCACTGAGCTGTCTCCCAGCTTTTCCCCACCCCAGGCAGAAGTGAGTGTTGATTTTGACTCGGTTGATTTAGCCATTATGCTTTTTTTTCATGTCATCTTAAGCCTTCTATTTTCATTATTTTTAGTTTTCATTAGTGTAATGGATTTCCTGACATTAAAGCAGTGACCCTTCAGGTCATGCAGTGTTACTCTTTCTACTGTATGATGGGTCACTTAGTGCTTTACTTGGGGTATTTTCATTAGGATCATAATTTTCTTAACATTTTTTTTGAACTGGCGATGTCTTGTGATCCAGGCAATTGGGAAGCAGAGGCAGGAGATTTACAACTTTGGTCAGCCTGCAAAACTGTAGTGAGACCCCACTTAAAACAGTAAACTTTTGAAACATCAGAGCATGTGTCATGGATTTGTTCTTTTTCTACTTAACTAATTTTTATTAGGATATTTACTTAAATAGTATTTTATTTATATTATATATATTATATATCAAGAATGTATTGAGTATATTGATGGTATGCTTTTTCAGATTTATTTTTCATAAAATACATAAGGCTCAATCTGTGGTCATAGTCTCCTTTAAGATGTGATGCCTGGGGCTGGAGAGATGGCTCAGAGGTTAAGAGCACTGGCTGCTCTTCCAGAGGTCCTGAGTTCAATTCCCATTAATCACATGTTGGCTAACAACCATCTATAGTGAGGTCTGGTGTCCTCTTGAAAAAAAAATAAAAGATGCGATGCCTGGTATCTGGACTTGTGTTTGAGAAGTCTGGACTTCACTTTGGTAGTCTTTGTCAGGAAGTCTGCCACTGAGTTGAGCACTTCCCAAGTTTGTTTTGTTTTTTAACAACATCATATTTTTTGCTGCTTCCATTTTAAAACTTAAGAAATTTATTATTAATATGACTTGATTTAGATTTTTGTATGAGTATTATTACTATCAATTTTTTGTTTCTAGAATGTTTTTGCCATTGTCTTGAATATTATTGTTGATTTAGTGTTTTTATTACATAGTTAAAGCTAAGGAAGCTCAGGGTTGCAGATATACATAAAAGTTCCTTTCTATTAGGGTTAATCTCCCTATATATACTTTGTCTAACTTTGAGGGAGTTTTGCACTGTAGGTTCCAGATAATCTCCCTCCATGCTTTCATAACTGTTTTACTGTTTGGTTAGCTGTGGAAGATCTCTCTGAACCCAGTAATGCATTCCCAAGGATGAACTTGGGGTTTTGAGCATGCTGGGCCAGCAGTTGACCACTGAGCTGCAATCCCCAGCCCTGTTTTTACTTTTGTTTTGAGACAAGTCTTTCATTAAGTTGCTTGGGCTGTAGCTCAGGTTGGCTTTTAGCTTACCATCTTCCTTCCTTAGCCTTGTGAGTCATTGGGATTACCAGTGTGTACCACCAAGCTTAGCTATCTATCTAAGCCATATACTTCCTTAAATTAAGATTTGTTTAGTTTTTATATGTACAGCGTTCTGCCCGAATCTATGCCTAAGCACCAGAAGAGGACATCAGATCTCATTATAGTTTACCAGTCACCATGTGGGTCCCGGGATTGAACCTCAGTCCTCTGGAAGAGCAGCCAGTGCTCTTTGCCACTGAACCATCTCTCCAGCCCCCTAAAAGAAGCAGAGTTTCTTTTAAAGTTACCTTTTGAATATAGAATGTATTCTTGAGTTTAAGATCAGGGAAGACCCCACTCTGTTGACACAGAAGCTCTTGAGCCAGCAATCTGGCTTATACAGCAATGAATAAGAGACTGAAAGAAGATGGAGGGAATAGTCCAACTCCACAGTTGTCCTGACGCCCACACTCGTGGGAGATGCATGACACATTAGACACATGACTATGTGTACATACACAGAGATTTTTTTTTTTTAAAGAAGAACTTCAGTGGTTATTCCATGTTTCAGCCAATCAGTTATAATTAAAGCAAGCTTAATTAAGTCTGTATTATGTATATATTGCACTGTGGTAGAACACTTAATGTTATTCTGAGCGTAAAACAAATAGGCTCTGGAGAAATAGTTCATCTTAAGAGCCCTGGCTGCCCTTCTAGAGAAACCAGGTTCAATCCCAGCACCCACATGGTAGCTCACAGCTCTGATGCCCTTTTCTGGCCTTCATGGGCAATTGGCACACAAGTGGTTAGACAGGCAGACAAAACACCCCTATGCACATAAAACTAAAGAGGGTTTATTCAAAATAAAATAACTAAAAGTAATTATCTTACTACTATCCTGGCTGCCATCATTTTGGTTTATGTGCTTTGATTTTCTTCCTTGCTCATGAGTGTCCTCACCAGCATTTCTTTTGGTTTTGTTTACCTTTTTGTTTGTTTTGAAGCAGTATCTTACTTTGTGGGCCCTATGGCCTGGTATCTGCTGTGCTGGCCTCAGCTTCCCACATGCTCTGTACAGAGCACACCCTCTTCTCTTCCTTCTGATTTTCTTTTCTTTTTGCAACATGGATAGGCTGGGATGTTCCTAAATCTTCAACCTATGTTTCCTAGTTTGTTTAGTAGTCCTTCCCTGTACGTGTGTTACCCATCTGTGTGTTGATAAACAAGCACCGAGCAGGAACTGACGGTGGTGAACTTGAGTGCTTATTGACTTTTACCTTAGAGTAAATTGTAGAGTGGAATTGTTAAAGATTTGTTACGTGGGTAGTTGAAGACTCCTGCTCCTAACTTCTATTGCTGGCTTGAAGGCTAGCTTTCATCTTGATAGATTCCTTTACTAATGAAAGATAAGATTGGCTTTGGCTTAATTACTTGAAGTGGGAAGCCTGGGTTTACGTGGCATTACTAGAATTTGTAGAGACCCCTCCCACATGCTCACGTGCTCTCACAGCATGCTTTTGCTTCTGTAGCAGCATTCTTGCCCATTTTGTGGGGTTTAGAGGGTGGCAGGGACGATGCATGGAATGGTAATTGAGTTGTCACTGTTCTGTGAGTCTGTCTGCCCTGGAAGACTTCTTTGCTCCTTCACTATCTTAGTGACTGTACTAACTCTAGATGTTCTCAGAGGTAATTGTTTCAATAATTATTCTGTGTAAGTAGGATTTTCCCACTTAGTTATAAGTCTATGCTTCTGATATTACATGCTTATGAAGATACTTGAATTTTTTTCATTTAGGTGAAAAGGACATTTGTTAAGTATTTTGTATAAAGTAATCTATGTCCTATTGGTGTAAAATGTAGATCATGTGTTGAGCATAGTTAGATTTTACACTGAAACAAGAAAATACAAAAGAAAAGGGCATGGCTGTCCTTAGCAAAAATTTTGCATTGGGAATGTCTATTACTCATAATTAGCTTGTGGCTCTGTATAAGCGCTTGCTAACACAATTAAAATGTAGTTTTAACAGTGTGATAGCACTAGGCATTGGAGGAGAAGTTGGAAGAATTTACCTGAAGTACTATAATTCACTGTCTCCCCCTCACTCAGGATTACGTTTTAGAGAAGATTTCTGTGTGAGTTGTCATTGGAAGAGTAAGTCCATTCCAAGAGCCCTTGGAGCTGGTCTTCACCTTGACGGACAAAGCCGTGGCTCATTGCAAAGAGCCACTTGTGGCCCGAGAATTCGCCCAGCATGCCTAATCAGGGGGAAGACTGCTACTTTTTCTTCTATTCTACGTGTACCAAAGTAAGATTGACATTTCTAAATCAGTTCTTTCTGTTGTTTTTTAAGTAGATTAGGTAAGATTTCCCCTGCATTCTGCATTGTTTTATGTTGTGATTTGCTCAGTTGTTTCATTTATTATCTGCTGCCAGCTTTTAAGTAAAGACTAATTTGTTAAAGAACACATCACTCATCTTTTCCTCCTCACTTACATATAACTTTCCAGAAAAAGTAAAAATGCCCAAGAAGTTGTATAGTCATCATTCGACACATAATTATTCTAAGTGTCTTTGGAATTAATTAGGGAGACGTTGGTCTCTATGGCTTGGCAGCTGTGAGTTTGTGTCTTTTGCATTAGATGAATGACTAGATTGTATAATTCTTGTGGGAGCTGGTAGGGGTTAAATTTGACCTCGTCTACATTTTCTGCTAGTGAGAAGATAATGCTGTCTTTTGTAAATATATTCTTTCACAGTTCGCTTTCATTGTCAGAACGTCCTGTTTCTCTGCTTGAGTTTTTGGTAACCCTATTTGGGTCTGCCTGTCATTTTTTTTTTTTTTTTTTTTTTTTTTTTGTAGTTTCTTTATGGCTAATCCTGTAAATTTGTAGATTACAGTAGCCTCTTCTAAAGTCATTGTGATGATGTATTTAAAAAGATAAGTCTAAGCTGGACAGTGGTGGCCCATGCCTTTAATCCCAGCATTCAGGAGACAGAGGCAGGCAGATCTCTGTGAGTTCTAAACCAGCCTGGTCTAACAAGAGCTAGTTCCAGGACAGGCTCCAAAGTCACAGAAACAAACAAACCAAAAACAAAGACAAAAAGATAAGTCTAGACATAATAGTAGAAATAGAAGGGTTGAAATTTACCCTCAGCTCATGTAGCAACACCCTATCTTAAAAAGCTCTAGGCGCTGGGGGCAGATGAAATTTTCCTGCTGTGTATATAGCGAATCATTAGAGCACTTACAAGCATGAGGGATGCTGGATTCAGCTTTGAGGCCAGCCTGGTCTGCATAATTCTAGGCCTACCAAGGCTGTATAGTGAGATCCTGTCTCAAAAAAACAACAAAGAAATAGGTTAAGGTTGGGGAGATAGCTCCGTCAGTAAATTATTTGTCATGTAAACATGAGAGCCTGAGTTGGACCTTCAGAACCACATTTTGAAAAGCCAAGCATGATGGCATGCACTCACTCTCGGGAGGCGAGGCAGGAGGATCCCTAGGCCCCACTGGCTAATCAGTCTATTATACTTGGGGAGTTCAGGCTCATGAGACCCTGTGAAACAACAAAGAGCAACAGGTTATTATATTACAGATTTATTGCTTTCAGCTGGTGGTGGTTATTACTTCTCGTTTTCTGCCCTGCTGGTCTTTGCTTACTAGTTTGTTTAGGTTCTTGTTATAGGCGTGTGCCACAGTCCTTTCCTGTTTGCTTTTGTTCACAGGGTGACAGCTGCCCATTTCGTCACTGTGAAGCTGCACTAGGAAATGAAACTGTCTGCACACTGTGGCAAGAAGGTCGTTGTTTTCGACAGGTGTGCAGGTTTCGCCACATGGAAATTGATGTAAGTATCCAGGGTCGGTACAGATACGGAGGAAGTGGCTAGTGAGGTGAGATGACTCCGAGTAGAAGCACGGAGCTGCCAAGCCTGGTGTGAGTGTGTGAGTGTGTGAGGGGGTGCAGTCTGCTGTTGAGAACAACCTGACTTGTAGGAGTCAGTTGTAGTTCCACAGTGTATGTCCTGGACCTTGTGCTGGGGTGGTTGGGGTTTGTGGCAAATGCCTTTACCTGCGGGGCCATCTTGCTGACCCTGTGTTTCATAACAGTTAAGGAGCTGGAGAGATGGCTCAGAGGTTAAGAGTACCTGCTGCTCTCTTGCAGAGGACCCTAATTTGATTCATAGCATCCAAATGCTATGGTAGCTCATAATGGTCTTAACTCCAGTTTCAGGGGCTCTGATTGATGCCCTCTTATGACTTCCGTAGGCTTTAGTCACAAGGCAAACTCGTACCCAGGAAATGAAATATATAATCTTTATACGTTCATTGTGAATTTTTTTTTGTAAGCCATTTAAGGATAAATTAGTGCTATCCTCTACTTCCTAGTGCTTTAGTCTTTTCCTACAAACAAGGAAGGGTTTCTGTGCAACAGTAGCAGCTGTAAACTGGTAATGTGACTCAGTCCTCATGCAAGTTTGCCAGCTGTCTGATAATGGTTTCTCTTGAAGGAGCAAGTCCACATTCACACATAGCTTATGGTACTGTGATGCTCCAGGCTCATGCATTTGAGCACAGTGTTCAACCTGTCTTGGTCTTTCATGATGCTTTTAGGGCACCAGTCCTGTAAAATGTCTCTTAATTTGGTTTATTTTTATGTTCTCATTACAAAGCTATGGTTGTATGTGCTTCTTTTTGATTGATGTGTATGTGCTGAGTGTGTCTGTGTCATATGGGTGCAGTGCCATCAGAGCTCAGGAGAGGAAGCTGGGTCCCCTGGAACAGGAATTACAGGGGGTTGTGAACCACCATGTGGGTGCTGGGAACTGAACCTGCAGGAACAGTCTTAACCATGTCCTGTCACTGGTGATTAGCGTTGTAGATCACAGTGTCTGCCACACTGATTTCACTCTAAACTAAAAGTTGCCTGTTTGTGTGTATGTGCACATGTGGGCTCCAGAGATAAAACTTGTCATGAGGCTTGGCAGCAGGTACCTCCCCCCCCCCCCCAGCCATTTTACCATCTCAGTTCTAAGTGTGCTTTGTGGGGTGACAGCTCTTTTCTCGTCAGACTGGATCGTTTCCCCAGGATCTATTTGTGTTAGTGTGAATTAATAATTTTCTGTTTTACTTAATGTGTTGTTTTTGTAACGATTCCAATTTAGCCTATAAGAGACCTTCAAGCTGACTTACTCTTTATTTTGTGGGGGTGAGAGGTTACTCCTTGCCACCCATCGTTTCTTTGAACACTTTTTGCTCTTTTTTTTTTTTTTCCAGGCTCTGTAATCTTTGTAATTTCCTCTCTTTTAAAAATGGCATGTTAGTTCCTTCCAGTGAAGAAGGATAGATAGGTGTTAAGCTTCGATCTTTTCCGAGAGTGCTGATGGTTTTCATGTCCTCAGTGGGGAGGGAAGTAGGTGATGTATACATGTGCATTGCTTTGGGTCTGTGTACTGAGAGGCACAAATTCACATAGGTGTTTTCAGCTCATCAATATCAGAGTTTAGGTTTCCTTTGTTACTGTTTTCTCAAGTGAGAAACTTGGTTTCCATAGTCCTTAATACTTTGCCTTATTTGGCCAGGTCCCTGGTGGTAAATATACATGCATATGGTTTTTTTCCTCTTGGGCTCTGATGTCACGAGAAGCTGCTCCTGCAGTGTCACCCTTCCCCCTTTGCTCTGACTCTAGCTCCACTGTAAAGACCCTCCTCTCCATGCTTGCACTGTCTCCCTCTAGGTGGGTGAACCCTTCCTTCCCCGCTCCTTAACGTAACAGGCACTCCAAGATCCATGCTCTCAGGCGCCAACCAAGCAGTATGGCCATGCTAATATTTGTTTTGCACAGGCTTACTTGTGTCTGAAGAAAAGTAAATATTTACATTGTATTCATTGTGCCAAAGTACATCAGAATCACCGTTGTAGCAGTTGCTACCTTCGTACAGTGGTGGGGTGGTCCACAGTTAACGGAATTTAAGATGGACACTAGTTATTTGATAAGGAAGGATCAGGATATATTAAGGGAGCAGAACAGCATGCTGAATTAGGAGAGATGGTTCAGTAGCTAAAAGCACTATCTTACAGAGGACCCAAGTACAGTCTCTAGCATCCAAACAGCACAACCATCCCAGCTCCAGTTTCAGGGGATCCCATGCCTTTGTCTGGCATATGGTGCATATAGGTACATGCATGCAAAAATACATAAACCTAAAAAAAAGTTTATAAGGGAGAGATTTGTACTTGTATTTGTTTGCATATGCATTTAAAAAAATACCTGTGGAAGTGTAATGGAAACCCTGAACTGTGGGTGTGTGGAGATGGAGGGAGCCACAAGGACTTCAGCACACCCCTTACAGTCTGTTTTCATTATTTATGGATTCAGTATTTACTAATTGATCTGCTCAATACGATGTACTGGTATTCCCAAATCAGTACTTGTATGTTTTGTGCTTACTCAAAGACATGTTCAGAGATAAGCACACAAATCCCCTGGTGTGTTTCCAATGAGGTGGAAGAGGGTGACAAACTGCCTCTCTGATTGAGTCCTCATATTATAACCCTTGATTGCAGCTGCTTGCTACTAGGAAGTTTTGCAGTTTTGTTCTCTGTATTGATCATTTTGCTTTTTAAAAACGTCTGCAGTGCCTTTGGGCTGGGGATGTAGCTCATTGTTGGAGTACTTGCATAGCATGTGCACCGAGCAGAAAAAGGAGGTGCTGAAGTGCTAACTGGTGTTTCTAATTGGAGGGAAGCTGTGATGCTTTACTAGAAAATATGGCAGTATGACTAAGCTTCATAGTGCTGTTGGCTCTGGGTTTCATACTAATAATTCAGTAATATTAAATATGGTCTCCCCCCCCCCAACCCAGTAACAGTGTTTCTCTGTAGCTTTGGAGCCTGTCCTAGAACTTGCTCTGTAGACCAGGCTGGCCTCCAACTCACAGAGATCCACCAGCCTCTGCCTCCTGGGTCACATGATTAAAGCTGTGCACCACCACCAGGCTATTTGCTTGTTTTTTTGAGACGGGGTCTCTATGTAGCCCTGGCTGTCCTGGAACTCACTGTGCAGACCAGGCTGGCCTCAGACTCAGAGAGATCTGCCTGCCTTTGCCTTTCAAGTGCTGATATTAAAGCTGTGTGCCACCATATCCAGCAAAGTAGTCTTTAAATAGAAACACTTAAAACAAGATTATGATTTGACTGGCTGATGAAAATACTACAGATGTAGAGGATTATGGGAACTGGGCTGTCTGTTTTCCCTTGGAGCCATTGGTGTAGTGTTCACTAATTCAGGGCTTACAAAGAGGACTCATTGGGTAAATTAGCATCATGGATACCTGAGTTTGAATGTCCAGCACCCATGTAAAAAGCTGGGCATGGCTGCACTTGGGAGCAGAGACGGAAGTGTCCTGGGAGCTTGCTGGCTGGCCAGCCAGCCTGAGATGAGGTTCACTCAGTGTGAGACCCTACCTCAGGATGAAGTAAGGGCAGCAGAGGAAGAGAGTGACGTCCTGCTCTGCCTCCACACTAACCCTGCGCACACTCACATGCATTCGCACCTGTAGCCAAGGAGAGTGAGGCCAACCATATTTAGTTGTGTGTGGTCCTAAGTGTGGGCATTCAGGGCTTTCAAGATGAGGACTAGGAGGAAAGAACAGCCCCTCCCACCTCCCCCTGTGCCGTAGATCACATGTGCTAGCCTCCGTCTTCCTAACCATGACCTCCTGTGTCGGGGTTTTGAACTGTATTTTGAAAACTAGTCACAAAATTAATGTAGGACTTCTTTCATTTTTTAACTTTTTTTTTTTTTTTTTTTTTAACAATGTGCTTTTTTCTCTTACAGAAAAAACGAAGTGAAATTCCTTGTTATTGGGAAAATCAGCCAATGGGATGTCAAAAATTAAACTGCGCTTTCCATCACAACAGAGGTCGTTATGTTGATGGACTTTTTCTACCTCCAAGCAAAAGTGAGATTGGTTTTGATTCTAAAAGAGAATAGTTGCTGATCAGTGAGCACCAGCTATTCACACCTTTAACCCAGTGAGAGCAGTACTGTTTGTATTGTATAATGGAGAAAGAAAGCGTTATAGAGTCTAGGTGATAAATATGCACAGAGACCCAAATGTTCTGTCACGCCAGGTTACATTACTACATAACATTTGCTTCATTCTCACATTCTCACACCACACCTATAGATGCTCTCAAAAGAAGTGATTTTTCCAGACCGGGGGTTGGCAAGTCAGGTCCTCTGCTCTGTAAGATGAAGGATTACTGTGTGTGGCTTTGGCCATCGTTTACACCTTGTGGCCTATTTTGTATTAACACTGCAGAGTTAAATGGTTGAAATAGAGACCATATGGCCCACAAGACCCGCAGTATTAGCCGTGTAGCTCTGTTATGGACACAGGGTTGTATGCTATGGACTAAACTGGCTTAGACCTTGTGATTCTCCTGCCTTGAGCTCCTCAGTGTTGGGACTATAGGCCTGCACCATAGTAACTCACTCACTGCCTGCTTCGGCCTTTATAGGCTGCCTAAAATTTAAAAATTTGATGTAGGATATCTTGAATTTTTTCCCTCATTGTTCCAGGGCTGGGAATCAAACTGAGGATTTCAAGCATGCCAGATAGACAAAGCCCTCTACTGCTGAATTATATCCCCAGCCTTAAAGTGAATCTTGACTCCATAAAGACCTGTGATTTACTTTAACAGTCTCTCAGAATAATGTTTATTTTCACATACATTGTGCGTGCCTTGAGTGTGCACACACATGCTGTGGAATGCATGTGGAGGTCAGAGGACTCTTGGAGAGATTGGGTTTTCTCCTCCCACATGCGGGCTCAGATCAAATTCAGGTTATCAGGCTTGGCTGCAGGCACCTTTACCTCTCACTGGCTCCTCCAAAGTTCCTTTTAAAGTGGGCTATTTCTTTAGACACCAAAGAGCCACTCAGTGGTAGGTGGCTGTGATTTTTAGCACTCAGAAGGTTAAGGCAGGAGGACCGTGAGTGTGAGGGCCATCAAAGAAAGATGTGTGAGTGGTGGTGCACACTTTAATCCCAGCTGGGAAGGCAGAGGCACGTGTCGTCCTCTGTGTCTTCTTGTGTTAAGCAAAACATTCTAGAATCTCAATTTAAAATGGTAAGAATTTGGAACTCTTGGGTTTACTGTTTTCGGTTCCTACCATTGGTTTATATACAATAAGGAGTTGTTGGCTCAAAAGTCCTTTTTTTGTTCATGGAGAATTTAGAATAAAAATGGGAAAATTAAGTTTTAAAAAAATGTGTTAAGAAAAATTACCAAATTTATGGTAAGAGGGCAGGGGTTTTTGTTGAGCTGGGATTATAATTCTCTGTTATGTCTTTTTGTTGTTGTTGTTGTTGTTGATGTTTAGCCGTATTACCCACTGTGCCTGAGTTGCAAGAAGAAGAAGTAAAGGCTAGCCAGCTCACAGTCCAACAGAGCAAACTGTCTGTCCAGTCTAACCCCTCCCCTCAGCTGCGGAGTGTAATGAAAGTAGAAAGTTCAGAAAATGTTCCCAGCCCCACGCATCCACCGGTTGTAATCAATGCTGCAGATGATGATGAAGATGATGATGGTACGGTCAGCTCCCCCCCCCCCTTTTTTTTTTAAGGCAAATAATGTAATAACTTAGGAACAATTAAAACCCTGGACTTGGTCTTAATTGGACATTTATCTTAAATGTGGGTATACAGACCAGTTTTCTGAGGAGGGCGACGAGAGCAAAACACCTGCCCTGCAGCCGACCCCTGAAGTCCACAATGGGTTACGAGTGGCTTCTGCCCGGAAACCTGCAGTCAGCTTAAAGCAAGGTAGGTAGGCTCCTGTCTCAGCCTTGAAGCGTCCCTGGCGGTTTTATAGCTTTGTGGTTCAGTGCACAGTCACCCAGCTTTTCCTAGCTGGTGTGCTATCTATCTGCGTACTGACACATACTCTTTTATGAGTCATTGACTCAAAATGTACTTGAATGCCTGCAGGGAATAGGAAAAGAAAAAGGCTATAGTTCCTCATATGGTTCCCCCTTGGGTTTCCCAGGTGAATGTTTGAATTTTGGAATAAAAACTCTTGAGGAAATTAAATCAAAGAAAATGAAGGAAAAATCCAAGAAGCAAGGTGGTAAGTCATCATGCGTTTTGGCATGAATACTTGCATGTTACTTGACAAGAAAAACAGATACTTCTGACAACAGCTGTCAGATTTAGCAAATACAGATTTCTCTTTTCTATGGCTTGTTTGAAGTGAAGCAAACCTTCAGGAGTTGTGTATCAGTCTGTTTAGAGCTAGGACCATTTGTTAATACAAATAAGCCTGTACATCTTGAGATTTTTTTTGGGGGGGGGGCGGGCGGTGGGGGGGGAGAACGACAGGATCTTGATAACGTATCTGTGGCCATCCTGGAATTCCCTATATAGATCATGCCAGTCTTGAATCACAGAGATCTGCCTGCCTCTGCTTCCTGAGTTAAAGTCGTGCACCACCATGCTGGGCTAGATCTTGAGAAATTAAACTGTAAATAAAGAGCAGCAGTTAAGAGGCATGCTAAGGGGCCTGTGGAGATGGCTGTCAGTAAAGTGCTTACTACACAAGCCTGAGAGTCTGCCCTCTAGCCCTAGCACCCATGGAAAAGCCAGGCATGGATGTGTGCTGGTGTTCCCAGCTCTGGGAGACAGAGACAGGAGGGTCCCTGGGGCTTGCTGGCCAGCCTCGTCTAATCAGCGAACCCCAGGTCCCCTGAGGAAAGACACTGGAGTTGACTTCTTAGCTCTGCGTGCACACACAACCCGCCAAAAGAAAATTAATGTCATTAGCTACAAGGAGATTCTTAGGAGCTGCTAAGAGTTTCTTCTGGAGCTTTCCTCAACCTTATTGATGTAGATTTCCAACTCTAAAGTTTAGTTATAGGTAAGGTAATGACAAGATACATACTAAATTAGTAAATGTTGGTGCTGAGGAGTTTCCTTAAAGCTTACTCCATAAGAGCCTTGCTTTGCAGATGGGAATGATGGATTGCCAATGCTGAAGGCTAAAACATGCTTCTGCCTTAGCTTTAGAGTCGTGTTAGCCTTCCTGGTAAACAGAAGGTTGAGTGTCTGCTTAAGGCAGCATTCACACCACAGAGCAGGCTGCATTGGACCAGTGTTCAGAGAACAAAGATTCTTGACTTGGACTAGCTTTATTTTCCTCGGGTTATTTATTTGACTTTTCTCATTCAGAAGGCCCCTCGGGAGTTTCCAGCGCTTTACATCAGCCTCAGCCCAATCCAGGTCCTGAAAAAGAAAATGTTCGGACTGTGGTGAGGACAGTAACTCTATCAAGCAAACAAGGAGGTATATAGTAGGTCTCAGAGTTGTTGGGCTCTTTTATGTAATTGGGAACACAATGTCCTTGGGTGATATGTTTATTCACTTTGTAGTTTTTGGAGGACTTGAAGTATTTTGGTCAGATATGAGGTTGAAAATTGGTACTTTTGATCCTGTTTTTTAAAAAGTTAGAATTCTTGCTCAAGCAGTCAAGTTTATTGGCTGTCCATTCTGAGTAAAGAATGTTATCACGTATTTAGAGTGATGGGAAAAACGTCAATCGTTTTCCTAAACTGTTTAAAGAGTAATAAGGAATTACTATTGCTATGATCAAACATCATAATCAAAAGCAAGTTGGGGAGGAAAGGGTTTGTCTGTCTCACACTTCATATTGTTTTTCATTATTGAAGGAAGTCAGGGCAGGAACCTGAGGCAGGAGCCATGCAGAGGCCATGGAGGGATGCTGCTTGTTGGATAATTCCCATGGCTTGTTCAGTCTGCTTTCTTATAGAAAGAACCCAGGACCACTACTCAGGGATGGCCCCACCCACAATGGGCTGGCGTTCCCCCATCAATCACTTAATTAAGAAAATGTCTTACAGGCTTGCCTGTACTCTGATCTTATGGAGGCATTTAGTGACTGATGTTCCCACGTCTAAATGACTTCAGCTTGTCAGGTTGACATAAAACTACGTAGCATAGGAATGTAACACATGAAACTGTATGTTTAAATATTCCATTTGAACCACAAACATTTCAAAGAAGGCTTACATCTTGGTCACGTGGCAATAAATAGCTTGTCAAGGTGCACAAGGGTATTTTGGCCAGAATCAGAGCCTTTCTCAATACGTTTGGCTACTGTTAATGATGCTATGATGTTGTGTGTTCATTAGACTGTTGATTATTTTTCTTGTTGAATGTGACTAAAGATTGAGATCTGATTTTCAGAGTACCTCCTTAGTAGGCTCATATGAATGAACTAACATCACATTTTGTTTTTGCCATTTCAGAAGAGCCCTTGGTTAGATTAAGTCTTACTGAGAGACTGGGGAAACGAAAATTTTCAGTAGGTGAGTTATATCTTTTGCACCTTCTGTCTTTGTGTTTGTGCATTAATGTGATTCTTTGTTGCGTTGCTTCACACAAGGGCCATCAGCATTGATCTGCTGGCCTGCCTGTATTCTAGACGACAACATTTGTTGTCATTGAGGCAACAGCAGTTTGAAGTATTATAGCTTAATTAAATTATGACCATGACTAATCTTTTCTTTTTGGCTGAGAACTAAGCCATCTCTAGCCCATGACTAACCTTTTAGAAGGTTCTAGGTTTAATAATTACAGGCTTGAGCCAGGCATGTTGACATGTGCTCTTGGGAAGCAGAGGCAAAAGGATCTTCATGAGTTCAAGGCCAGTCTGGTCTTCATAGCTATTTCCAGGCCAGCACAGATTACATAAAGACCCCTTGTCTCTACTTAGGTAAGCTAGAGAATATCAGATATTTTTAGTTGCTTTCTTCTTCCTCCTCCTTCCTTTCTGTCTTAAAGGCAGATTCTGATCATACAACACCACTTTTAAGTCTCCATATCCCAAGAATAATAGGCATTGTAAATGACTGGAGAGATGGCTCAGTGGTTAAGTGCTCTTCCAGAGGACATGGGTGTTCAATTCCCAGAACCCACATAGCAGCTCACAACTGTCTATAACTCCAGTTCCAGGGAATCTGGCACCCTAACACAGGCATACATGCAGACAAAACACCAACGCACATAAAAAATTAAAAATAAATCTTTAAAAAGAGATTGGCATCATAAATTCTTTTACCATCTTTTTAACTGAATTTACTGTGAATTCAGAGTTTGGTGATCTCTTAGCTAGGATTACTATTACTGTGATGAAACACCATGACCAAAAAGCAACTTGGGGAGGAAATTTCTACATCACAGTTCATCATCAAAGGAAGTCAGGACAGGAACTGCAGCAAGGCAGGAACCTAGAGGCAGAGGCCGAGGAGAGGTGCTGCTACCCGGCTTTTCTCCCAATGGCTTGTTGGACCACTAGCCCAGGGATAGTACCATCCAAGATTCCTAATAGCTTGAGTTTTGGTTTTTCAAGACAGGAGTTCTCTGTGTAGCCCTGCCCTGGCCTTGATCTCACAAAGATCATCCTGCCTATCTCCTGAGTGCTGGGAGATTAAAGGTGTGTCCCCCCACTGCTCCACTCTACAGCCGGATCTCATGGAGGCATTTTCTCAAATAAGGTGTCCCCCCCCCCCCCCCCCCCCCCCCCCCCGTGCGCCCAATCCCTGTATTACGTTGATGTAAAAGCTATCCAGCACAGTCGGTGAAGACATTGTTCTCTTTGAGCTTTAGCTTCAGCCAGGGCTTAAAGTTCTAGGTAGGTGGTGAACAAACACCATTTAAATGCAGAAAACTTGCAGAATATGTTAAATTGTCTGTTCTTTAATCTTTTCTCCCCGACTTTGTTAAAGATGACTTTTTAAAGCCAGTGTCCCTGTTTGTAGGTGGTGACGGTGACCCTCCATTGAAGCGGAGCCTTGCACAGAGGCTGGGAAAACAGATGGACGCTGCAGAGACTAACCCTGACAGAGTCCCAAAGAAGGGTGAGTGCTTCCGTCCTAACACACTTGTGTCTGTGGTCTCAACGCCCATGGACCCTCATGCTTTGCTAGGCTAGTTAGGCACCCGCTAGCTAACATTTAACCTGACACTGTCAACTCCTGAAAGACAGGAGCAGCCAAGATACTGTGATAACTACTGTGGCAGGAAAGAAGTGGATGATGCTGTGAGAGCGCAGGGGAAGTGTTCTCAAAAAGCATGCAGTATGTTTGGAGGTTTAGGCAGCTTCGGGACTCCGATCAGTTGCTCTCACCAGAGAAACTCACTGGACTCAAGGGTGAGACTCGAAATTGAGCTGAGTTAAAACTAACCCTTTATACGTACTTTTTATTTAAACCAGAGCAACAAAACTAGTGGGGCATGGTGATTCATGCCTATAATCAATTAATCAGGCGGCTGAGGCTGGATCTAATTGGGGTTAACTTGGGCTGTGTCATATCGGTGCTTTCAGGCCATCCTGGGCTATGGAGAGACACACACAGACAGAAACGAGACTCATGGGAATACCAAGTTCCCAAAGTTCTATATTTAGGAGTTTGGGGTGTATTTTATTTTTGAATTTTAACTGAAATCTTTCTTTTCTTCTGATACGCCTGCCTCTGCCTCCAGAAGCAGTGGGCTTGAAAGCGGGCGCCACCACTGCCCAGCATAATCGAAGTCTCTTACTGGCTATTCTGTGTGCGTATGTGTGTGTGTGTCATCTCTCTTAATTCTACATCAGTCCATTATTTCTTTAGTCCTTCAGTAATGAAAATGGTACTCTAATGGGACATTTGCAGAATGGTCTTTTGAGGGCTGGGGATGCAGGTCAGATTGGTGGCCCTTGAGTTTTGTTTTTTGTTTTGTTTTTGTCTTGTTGCCTGTTTTATTTTACTTCTTCCTTTTCGTGTTTTAAATGTCACTTTCACTTCATGAGAAGTTTGCTTTGACCAGTTCCTAGACCATGGTTGACAGTTTTATTGTGTGCTTCAAAGCAGTTCCCATTTCCAGACTTCCTGACAGCTCATTTAGTGACTGGTGTCATTGCTGCTTTTACGTAAGGTTTATAATGGTGCAGGATTCTCCACTGGTGAATTTCAGCCATTTCTGATGTATTTCTGTGGATTTCTGGATAGAAATGCAAGTCGGTAGGTTTGTCTAGAGATTTTCTGGCAGCTGTCTACAATTGCGAGGGAAACTAATGTTGTATATGAGGTACTGTACTGTACGATGCTTCTCCCTTTTATTCATAGGTCATGAGAGAATAAAATGAGAGAATAAAAATATATATATATATATATATATATATATGTATATATATATATATATATATATATATATTCTTTCCCAAAACAGAGAGAATTAGTAAAGCTGGCGAGATCCATGTGAAGACATTGGAAGAAATTCTTCTTGAAAGGGCCAGTCAGAAACGTGGAGAATTGCAGACTAAACTGAAAACAGAAGAACCTTCACGGGCTGATGATTCTCCGTCAGTAACAAAAAGTTCTTCCTCAGTGCGGATCAAAACCTTCTCTGAGGTCCTGGCTGAGAAGAAGCATCGACAGCAGGAAATGGAGAGACAGAGATCCAAAAAGGATGCCAATGTCCCCAAGTTGACAGCAGACCCTGAAGTGAAAAAGACAGTGAGTCTGCCCCCTGCTCCTGCCAGCAGGGGGCAGCCGGAGGGACCTGCAGCGAGAGCCAGGCCTATGCGGGAGGTGCACATTAAGACGCTGCAGGAGATCAGGCTGGAGAAGGCCATGAGAGTGCAGCGAAGCTCGGACAGCAGCGCCAGCTTCCAGCCTCAAGCTGAGGCCGTCCCAGGGGCAAGGAGGCTGCTCCGCATCGCCAAAAGAGCAGGTCTGCACAGCCTCTGCAAGCGTCCCTGCGGGGTAAAGCACAGGGCAGGGGCCACGGGAGCCTGCGTAGTTCTTTGGGGACTTTTCTTAACTGGGGGGATTTGAGCCAGTGGATTCAGTAGAGTATGTTCCTGTTTTCTTGAGATATAAGAGATTCGATTGAGAAACCCCATCTCTTAGCTGTGAGTTTCTTTCTTGTTTCCCTTATTGCTGTCTTGAGTTTCCTTCCTGTGCTGGATGGGAGTATTGTTTGATTTACACTTCCTGATCACAAGTTCACCATTCAGGGAAGTCAGGACAGGAACCTGGAAGCAGAGGCCATGGAGGATGCTGCTTACTGCCCTGCTCAGTCTGCTTTTATACAACCCAGGACACATGCCCAGGGATGGCACTACTCAGGGTGGGCTGGACCCTCCTCCTGAACCAGTTACCATCAGCCTAGTCTCAGCTGAGGCTCCCTCCCCAGATGACCATCGCTTGTGTTGACAGAAAAGCTAGCTCGTACAGTTGTACTTGTTAAGGAAAGTTTTATTTAATGACTTCATTCCTCGCATCCTGATGAAAGCAATTGTGTTTTTTAATGTGAATACAGGTGCAAAAGAAGACAAAAAACTCGACCTCGAAGAAGACAGTGGTGACACTGCTTCTCAGAGCAGTGTGCCTAAGACAGAGGTTAGTGAGGTGGGTTTGTCAGGTTGTGGCTCTGGGGGGGAAGATGCGTGCTTTTAGTTTTGGCATACGTTAAGTGTCTGTCAGCAGTTGTACTGGTAGGTTGGGTGGTTTCATATTTTTATTTTGGGTCATGTTTTTGTTGTTTTCTGAAGATAGTTTCTCACTATGTTGCTTGAATCTGCCTGACTCAGCCAGCCTCATTCCATAGTGCTTGATCACAACAATTTTCTTTGAAACTTTCTTTTTTGTTTGTTTGTTTGTTTTAAAAATAGGGTCCGTGTGGCCCTGGCTGACCTGTAGCTCACTGTGTAGACCTGACTAGCCTCCATCTCACAAAGGTCTGCCTGCCTCTTGCTCCCATTTGCTGGGGCAAAAGGTGTGTGCCACCACCATCCAGCAGCTATGGAAGATTCTTAAAGTTCTCTGTATTTAGTTTTCTTTGTTGTCATAGTTTTTTAACTGGGTGTTAATATTTTGCTACACATCGTGTAAAATTTGACCTTTCCCCCAAGATTACTTTATGTGTGTAGGTGTTCATATACATGTATCTGCATGTATGCACATTGTGGCACATGTGTGTTCGTGGTGTCTACAGAGGCCAGAAAAAGACATCAGATCCCCTGGAACTGGAGTTAAAGATGGTTGTGAGCTGACGTGTCTGTGTTTGGAACTGAACCTGGGTTCTTTGCCAGAGCAGCAAATATTCTTAACCATCTGCCCAGTTCCTACTTTTTTAGGCAGTGTCTTACATAGCTCAGGCTAGCTTCAAGCTAGCTATGCAGCCAAGGGCCTTGGACTGATTCTCCTGCCTCTGGTACCAGGGTGCTGTGATGACTAGCGTGTGCTACCACATCCAGCCTAGGATTTTTCTCTTTAGGAAGAATGAAGAACCCAGGCCAGATGACGCAAACATGTAATCAATTCTGGGCCTCAGGATCGCAAGGCTGAGGCAGAAGGATCTGGGCCGTACAGTCAGATCCTTTTTTTTTTTTTTTTTTTTCCCCTCCTCAACAAAACAAAGGACAAAAACTATAATTTTTCTCCTAGATTTCCTATGAGCTTCTGTTACATGAGTGATTAATACTCAACTCAGGTTGACAGCTGTACACTGTATCATGTTACACCTTCTCCAGCTTTAGTGGTGTGTGCTTTTACTGACTATAACATTCTACTTTGTGACTATAAGCTCTTTCTGCACGTTCACATTTTCACACAGTTGGGAATATCTTGACATAAATCTTAATGTATGGGTGCCGTGTTGTGTTTTCTTCCTATTGAGTCACACTTCATTTCTATTCTTTCACACTTAACAGTATGCCTTCTGTTTAATAACAGATAGAGCTTCCTTATTCTGAATCATGTAATACTCTGCCTAACTTAGACAGACATTCACTCTGCGTTATGAGAAAGTAGGGTTTACTTCTTTAAATTTTTTCCACAGGCTTCTGATGAGACCATAAGTGATACCACAAAAATCCCAGTGAAGCGGTGTGATGCTGTGAGAGAGAAGTACACCAAGGAACTGCAGGGGATGGAAACCTCCCAGGAGAAGCCAGCCTTGACACCTGTCCAGGGAGACGGGCCCTCTCCCTGTGCTCGAGTGCTGGGGAAGCCAGAGCTAACTGCTGCATCAGGCGTCACTCGGCACCTGGCTAAGCGGCTCCCCCTGGAGTCATCCCAGAAAGGGGAGGTAGAAACCTCTGGAATTGGGGACTCGATACTGAATGTGAAATGTGCAGCACAGACTTTGGAAAAAAGGAGTAAAAGTGAGTGATTTTGATACCTTCATTGTTGCAGAATGTTAAAGATGTGTTACATTTGTTTATGCTGTGGAACATTTGTTTAATGATGCAAAGATATGTTAACATCATTTTATGTTGCATTTGTATAACTCTGTGAAGCTATGTTACTTGGCCTGTCTAAAATGCCTGATTGGTCTAATAAAGAGCTGAATGGCCAATAAGTAAGGCAGGAGGAGGCTAGACAAGGCTGGCAGACAGAATAAATAGAAGGAGGAAAAGAGAGAAAGGAGCAAGAACAATGGAACAGCCAAACATGAAATAAGAAGGAATGAAAAGATACACAGAAACAGAGAAAGGTAAAAGCCAAAGAGACAAAAGATCTTCGGATAAGTTAAGGAAAGCTGGCTAGAAGTGGGTGTGGGTGTGTGGGTGTGGGTGGGCACCTCGAGCAGTTTAAAAGCAACCACCCACACTTTATCATAGCACAATGACCACATTTCAGTAACTGACAACTATTGGTTTGAATCTTATGTGTACTGAGGTCATACCAGCAAGTAGTAGTAATTTAGTGATCTGCAAAGGTGAGAGTTCTTACAACTTAAAATTGCTAGAAGCTGGACAGTGATGGTGCGCACTTTTAATCCCAGCACTTGGGAGCAGAGGCAGGCAGATCTCTGTGAGTTTGAGGCCAGCCTGATCTACAGAGCTAGTTCAAGGACAGCCAGGGTTGTCACACAGAGAAACCCTGTCTTGGGGGGGTGAGGAACAAACCTGCTAGTGTAGTGTTTAGTTTGTTTTTAGTCTTTGGGGTTGGAGGTGTATGTAGCTCAGTGGTTAGTACGTGTCTATAATGCACAAAGCTCTGGGTCCCATTACAGTAGCACAGAAAAACCATGTCTGGTGGTGTACACGGTCACCTCTGAGTCTGCATTAGGGCTCTCTAGAGGAGCAGAACCAGGAGAAGAGGCGTTTGTTAGAGTGGCTCACATGATACACTTGGGGTCGTTCAGCAGAGGCTGCTTCCACTGGAGCGGCCAGCAGAGCTGGAGTGCCTCAGCAGTCCTAATCATGTGTTGTCAGTCGCCAATTGTATGATGAAAGTCTGAGTGGTTTTTGGCAACTTGAGCCCCATGGCTGGTGGAGGATTCTCTTTGAGGACACTTTTAAAAGTTCCGGCTTGTTTATGTGCACCTAGGTAGTTTTATCATGGACCTCACTCTCCTCTGTTGCTTTATCCGAAGATGCTAAGCACAAACAGCATCATTATTTTCTTTACTAGCCCATAAATGTTCAAAAAGTTTTACGATCATAGTCGCCAAATCCTTGCTCTTGTCAAGAGGGGAAGCAAGGAATGGGGACAGGAGGACCAGACCTTCACAGCCATCCTCAGCTGGATGATGGGAGGGCAGCCTGGGGTACCTGAGACCTTGTCTCAGAAAGAGAAAAACACAAAAGCCCCATTCAGAACTTCAAAATATCCAGCCCCTGCGGCCTCAGACTCAATTCTCCCTCCGCCTTCTGGGTGCTGAATTACAAGTGTGCAGCTGCGCTCAGCGTATCTCTTGGTTTGCAGGAGAAAATGCCATGGAATATGTAGCAATAGTGAAGAGTGTGTCATGGTGTCCAGTGTGGTGGATCATTTTCATTCACACACTTACTATTTTGGTATCGCTTTTTGTTTTGTTTTTAAGACCAGGTTTCTGCACAGCCCTGGCTATCCTGGAACTCACTAGCCTCAGACTCAGCCGAGATCCTCCTGCCTTTGCCTCCCGGTGCTGGGATATGCCACCGTGTCTGGCAATAGTTTTAGTATTTCTACTACTAAAGGCATTGTATCTTATTCAGAGTCACTCTGTGTGTGAAAGAGAGCGTCTAGTTGCTAACCAGATATGTTCTATGTCCTGTAGCCAAGCCCAAAGTGAATGTGAAGCCATCTGTGGTCAAGGTTGTTTCATCTCCCAAATTGGCTCCAAAACGCAAGGCTGTGGAGGTCCACCCTGCTGTCGTTGCGGCTGTGAAGCCACTCAGCCCCAGCAGCGTCCTGCAGGAAAGCCCCACCAAGAAAGCAGCAGTGGTAAGAACTGATCCTCTACTGCGGTGCTTGACTCTGCTGGGTTTGCCCTTTGGCTTTGTCTCTGTTTGTCTCACGTCTGCCCTTCCCAGCATTGCGTTCCTCAGACTGTTACTCTGGTAACTAGAGTGTAGTTGGAGATTTGAGAAGTGGCAGGCAGTGTTGAGTAGTAAGGTCCTTGGCTTACTTACATGCTCAGCCTCCAGATCATTGGTCCTTGGCTTCCCAGGTTTCAAGCCTCTGTGCTGAAGATACAGCTCAGTGTAGAGAGACCACCTAGCATGCAAGACCCTAGGCTCCCAGAGTCTCCAGCCCTGCCAAAACCAAACTAGCCATGATTCTAAGAAGACAACAAAAGAAAATATGCTGGGGAGGGTGGGGTGGGGTGCAGGGGTGTAGGGGTCAGGTAGGCCTGACTTGAAACAAGGCATTGGGGAGGCAGAGGAAGGTAGGACTCTGAGTTCAAGGCCAGCCTGATCTACCTTGAGAGGTACAGCTGAAGGAACATAGTCAAGCCTTGTCTAAAATAAAATAAAAGCCTTCAGGTCTGGAGACATGGTTCATTGGGTAAGAGTGCTTTTCTATACAAGTGTGAGTTTGAATCCCTGAGCAGCAAGTGTGGCCGTAACCCAACCTTGAGGGATGAAGACAGGTGGTGCCCAAGAGGCCACTGGCCAGCCAGTACAGCTGGAACCATTCACTGGAGGTTCCGAAGGGAAGCAGAAGCAGCAGAAGACTATGGCGGCCTCCTCTGAATTCTACATACCTGCACATGGGCCCCTGAGCATACACACATACAGAGCATACACACACACCAGTGTTTTTACCCTGCTCTTCCTTTGCAGGCTGTGGTCCCACTTACTTCTGAAGAGAAGTCCATCACCATGTCTGAGACAGAACAACCTAAGGACAGGTAATGTCTTCCTAACCAAGCTCCAAGCCATTACTGATTCTCCTTTTCACCAAAAAAATGCCAAGAGTCAGGGCTGGAGAGGTGGCTCAGTGGTTAACAGAACTGGTTGCTCTCATACATAAATAATATATGTCATAAATAAATAAATATTTTAAAAAAATCGAGAAGTCAATGAACATTTTCAGGTAGCTTCCTTTAAAGCTAACACAGAGGGCGAGTGCTTGAAGTCTAGGTTGCTGGTCTGCAATGCTGCTATTGATATTTGCTTTTACTATTAAAAAGTACTTTAAATTCCTGGCTAAATTCAAAAGATTCTTGATTCCAAATTAGTGAAACAGTTTTTTTGTGTGTCTCTTCAGAAAAAGCTTTTCATTAACTCTTGTCTAAGGCTCCAAGGCCATTTAACCATGGAGAAGGGCACAGCTGAGTCTAACAGTCTGCTTCTCGTTTACAGTTTTGTGCTGTCTTCAACCCAGTCTGCTTCAGAACCCTTGCTCCCAGAAGGATCAGGCCCTTCATCGTCCCAGGTGACAACCAAAGCTCGCCGACTGAGCTGTGCCTCCACAGGAAAGCCTCCGCTCTCTGTGGAAGACGATTTTGAGAAACTAATATGGGAAATTTCAGGAGGCAAATTAGAAGCTGAAATCGACTTGGATCCTGGGAAAGACGAAGATGACCTTCTGCTTGAGCTCTCAGAGATGATTGACAGCTGAAGGTGATGGTGAGGACACTTTAAAAAAAAAAAACAAAAAAAGAAAAAAAAAAAAACCCACAAAAACACCCTCACCAAAAGCTGGACTTAGTTTCATCTGTTCTAACATTTACCTGAGGTGATAATTTCTTTAGTCTCAAATTTTGCCCAAATCAAAAGTATATATACCTCTGAAGTACCTGTGTGTGTCCTGGATTCCCTTGGGGTCAGATCCTTTACATCCCTGTAACCGTTTTGTCCGTTTGACGCCATCATTTAGCGTCTGTGAGGAGGAGGTTGTGTGCTGCCCTTCTCCCCACGTGAGACTGAGCTCCGAATGAAATGGTGACGCCAACTCAGTGGCTCCTTGAGGTGTTTGTCAGTGTGGCCTATCTTCCCCTTCGCTGTATTTATTTATGTATTGTCTTAATAGGATCAGAGTTTAAAACGAAGACCGCTGCTAACCATTGTGGACCAAATGTCATGCTACCACTAAACAAAAGACCCACTTCGTCTGTGTTAAATTGTATGTCTTTTTAAAGGTATTTGGAGATTCGTCTAAGCTTTAAGGAGGGCCGGGCGGCTCAAGACCCTGAGATACGGACACAACTCTGGACCTGGTCCTGTTGCGTTAGCTGCTCCGTAAGCCTCTGAAGAGCAATAGCTAATTTATTATTACTGTAATTTTTTTAAAGGCTTTAAAGTGCCTCAGGGGTCCCCTGAAACTAATTTTCTACTTTTGGGATTCCCTGGATTCTTTATAAGAGATGGTGACGTGACTAGAAAAATTCTTTTTGTAGTATTAAAATTGTCCCTTTTCTTCAATACCTTTCTCCTACTGGCATCGAATTATCACAGAGACGGAAAATTGGTAAATTTTATAGTTTCTAACTCTCCCAGGAAACTACTCTTGCCTAGTATTTATTTGATGTGCTTTAACCATGGGAGGAGACTAAAAAGAAAAAGAGAGAAAAAAAAAAAAAAAAAAAAAAAAAAGACAACAACTCAAGCTGCCAGTATTGATATTGATCTACGGACTGTAGCAGTACACTGGGCTGTGCTGCCGCAGGGAAGACGAGATGCTCTGGGGTGTATTGGATACCTCCAGTTTCTTCATTTCTGGATTGAGTTTTCTTTTCTTGATGTTGGTCTTCATATCACCTCAAGGTTTAGACTTGTGAAGGAACAAGTCTGATGAGGGTAATAGTCTTGAAACGAGACACTGTACAGAATTGGAAGGCGGAAAGAAAGACTTGTTCATTGTGATACTTTCTGTAGGTGGCCAGTTTGTTTCTCACAGGGAAATCCTGGATCGCCTGTCATGTTGGCTCCTAAGGAACTGCTGTTGTAAGCGGCTCTTCAAGAGTTGAAGTTCATGTAGCCTTGTTGGGAATATGGAAAAGGAAGAAAGCCACAGGACTGCTCGTTCAGTCTGGGAAGATCTGGATGATTCTGCACATGCAAAAATGACTTGAAATTTATGTATAGACGCTTGTACCGATCCATCTTCAGCTGACTGAATGTTGTAAGATAACCCTTCTCCAAAGCAGGGGTGGAATGTTCTGCTTTCAACCACACATTTTATAAACACATTTCCTTTTTTGAATCGGCCTATAGATTGTAGGTCCCTTTTGTATATAATCTCTCTTCTTTTGCTTTAAAAAAAAAAAAAAAGTCTGTTCATATTTAATGCCCTGTATTAGTCAATGATTTGTGTTCAACATTATTTGAACCATTTGCCATTACTGAAAGAGAAATACTTATTTGTGTTTTAAATAAAACTGATATAGGAAATACTTAGTTCTTATCATTATAACTTAAGTGATGCTGTTAATTTTTTTTAAAGGAGGACAGGTTTGAAATTGATCCTAATATTCAGTGATTGAGGATTTTCAAGCATAAATATGGAAGAAAAGATTTAATTAGAAGAGTACAGGGTTTTCAATCTGTATTCTCACTTCTTACTGTTACAAAAATACATGTAAATTTTTAGCAACTAAAGACCATGAGTGGTTTTTGTTTTTTTTTTTTTTTTTTTTTTGTTTTTTTTTTTTTTTTTTTTTCCTTACTGGTAGCCTAATTGTCTCCAGACTGAGACTGTAACTTAGCAGTGGATCACCCACCTAGTGTAGATGAGGCTTTGGTCCAACCTAATGCTGGCCCCCACGTGGCCCTAAAAAGTCCCATCAAGTTAAACCTCCCACATGCACATTTTAATGGTTTAGACCATATGTTGCAGCGTGGCTCTGCTCCACAGTTTGGGGATAGTTTGACAATTTGTATCTTCTCAAGATTTGACCAGATGTGGTGGCACATGTTTTTAATCCTGAGCAGAGGCAGGAGGGTCTCTGAGGATTTCTGGGCTAAAAAAAAATAAAAAAATAAAAAGAAGATTAAAATCTGTGACATTCCGACCTTAACAGTAAAATCTCTCCTGTGGCTCTGTGTGTTCTCATCTCTGCCCATCATCTGCCCAGCTCCCATAGAGAGAAGGCTAACACAGTCACCGCAGTTCACACAGAGGCTTGAGGTGTGGGGTCAGACTCCTGCCATCCCATGTCATCCGAACAGTTCTGCAGCTGTGTAAATGTGATGCCCCTGAATTTGGCAGTGTAGCAGAAGAATATGCGTGAGCTCCAGATGTCCGTGCTGAATAGGTGACGCTAAGGTTACTGAGGACACATCTTGAAACTAAATCTACGGAAGGGCCACTGCTAGTTTCCAGGGTCAGTCTGCTCAAGTCCACCTGTGTTTGTAGATGAGCTTGATTCCCTGATTCTCCTGCCTCCACCACCCAGCTGCTTAGATGAAAGACTTGACCCACACCTGGTTCATGTGGTACTGGGGACTGACCCCAAGTATGGTGCTGAGCTGCATTTGCAGCTGGTTTTTAATTTGCAAAGTGATATGGGGGCGGGGCTGGAGAGATGGCTCAGCTGATAAAGGCACTCGACTCATAATCCTGGCGACCAGAGTCCAATGAAGATGGACAGAGATAACCAATTCTACGATTATTGTCCTCTGACTTACTACACTTGTGCCTTGTCATGTGACTTAGCTGTGACTGCCAAGCCTGATGACCCCAGTTTAACCTTTTAACACTATAGTAATACAAGCAGAACATATGCATTGACTCCAGAGCAGCAAGCTAGGGTTTTATGGTTTGGGGGTTTTTGTTTTGTTTTGCTTTGAATTAAAAGGTTCAGAAGCCTTACTGAATAGATCTGTTATTAGTTTGTATCTGGTTAGATTTAATTCCTAAGTTAGAGTGAATGTGGCAGTCAGCAAAAGCCTGGTCTACAGAGCAAGTTCCAGGTTCCAGGTCAGCCAGGGCTATACAGTGAAACCATGTCTCAAAAAACCAAAGTTTTGTTTTTGTTTTCTTGTTTTCAAGCTTTTATTTTGTTCTCAACTAGCAGTGGAACAAGAGTCCATTGAACTTACACCGGTCTGCAGTCAAGGGAGCTAGAGAAGAGAGTTTTGTGTGAAAGGAACTAAACAGATGAGGGAGTTACTTAAATTGGACAAGAAAGTTTCAGTGGAAGGACAAGGGAAAATGGACCCTTGCCTGATGGGAAAGCTATGGTAAGAAGTCATTGGTTTTGAGAGCTCAAAGGGGGTCATCACCTTTAGGAAAGCTACCAGGAGGGGAGAGTTAGTGTGCTGGCACTGACTGCTACAAGGATTTTGAAGTCCCACCCCTTGAAGCAGCTTAGAGCAATTTTGGACTTACAGTGTAGTTAAACACGCTTGGACATCAAGGATAGATGCAATTCAAATCTCTGCTGTTGGAATACTTAGGAAACAGTTTGGAGAGAGAGAGTGTGTGTGTTGTGTGTGGTGGGGGGTTGTCTGTGTCTTGTCTAGCGTGGGATGCCTGCAGAGGACAATATCAGAAGAGCCTTTGGAGCTGGGGTTACAGGCAGTTGTAAGCTAGGAGTTAAACTCAAGATCCTGGAAGAACAGCTGATGCTCTTAACCACTGAGCCGTCTTTCAAGCCTCTTAGGAAATAATAATTACAGCCGTGCGTGTAAGCCCAACATTAGAGAGGGAAATCGTCATAGTTCAGGACCAGACTCAGTTACAGGGTTCAAGACCAGCCTGTACGATGTGAGTGCTTCAGAAAAACAAAAAGTAACAGTGGTGTTTTGGTATTTTTTGAGACAAGGCCCCATTACGTAGCCTTGGCTGGGCTGGAACTTGCTGTGTAGACCAGGCTGCCTGTCTCGTTAATCCTGCTGTGATTTAAAGTATGTACCATCATGCCCAGTTTTACATAGGAAATACTCCAGACAAAACAGAGAATGAGCTAGAGCAGCCTTTTTTTCTTTTTGTTTCTTATTTTGCTTTTATTTGAGAAAGGAGCTCCTGACCTTACACATTTGACCCTTCTACCTCTCGGATGTTGGGATTATAGATGGGCGTCAACAAGTCTGGTTTATGTAGTGCTGGAGATTGACCTCAGGGCTTTGACTGAGTAGAGCAACTCTACCAATACCTCACCTGTTCTAAACTCTACCAAACTCCTCACCTGTTCTAAACAGATGAGCTAAGCCACAGAGTGATGACGTTACTTATAATTGCTAATGCCCTACCCCTCACACAGGGACCCTGCCTTTTGCCCTCTGCCTTTGGAAATTGTTTGGTGTTGGTTTGTTTGAAACAGGATCTCTATGTAGCCCTGACTGTCCTGGATTTCCTGTAGACAGCACTGCCTTCTGCCTCCTGAATGCTAGGATTCAGGTCTGCCCCACCACACCCAGCTTCCCCATGGCAGGCCTTTTTTGAAATGTGTGTATGTTGCCTGCTTGGATGTCTGTGCATCATTTGTGTGCCTGGTGCCAAAGAAGGTGTCAGATCCCCTGGAACTGGAGTTAAAGGTGGTTGGAAGCTACCATGTGGGTGCTGGGAATCAAATCCGGGTCCTCTGCAAGTCCAATCGATCCTTTTAACTGGGAGCTCTCTCTTCAGCCCTCGCCTTCGGTAAAGGTTTGTGTGGCCTCCTACGTAAGAGGCCACTGGACTGCTCCTTTCGAAACTCTCCTTTTCCCCCAAACCGGGTTGATGTCTATGCACCAGGCACATGCTCTTCATTTACTCTGTATTTTAGTTGTTTACCAGCTGGGGCATAGTGGCACATCCCATTAATCCCAGCACTCCAGAGACAGGCAGGTGAGTTCTAGGTCAGCCTGCTCTCCATAGTCCAGGACAGCCAGGGCTACGTAGAGCCCCCGTCTCAGTGCCCCTCCCACTTAAGACGTTCACCAATACTTGCTTCACAGAGCAGAAAGTTAGGGGTTATAGCCAGAGGTTGCTTGCTTGTCTAGCATTAAGAAGACCCTGGATTAGTCCCCAGCACTAGGGAGGATGGAGAAGAGAGATATTCAAGACAGATCTTTACTTGTCTTTACACTCTCTGTGGCTAATACGGGTGCATTAATTCTCCAGGCTGCCGTATGTTACTACAAACCAAATAGGTCAACAGATTGCTCAGTTGAGGGTAAAGGCCCAGCCAGATAGATGGAGGTGGCATTTCTAGTGAGGCTCTTTCTGGCTGTGGATAGCTGCTTGCAGTGTCCCCAAATGGCCTTTCTTCTGTTCCCATAGAGAAATGGATGCCTATGTGCTGTCCCTTTGTTGTCTTGGTTTGGTTTGGGCACTGGGCATGGAACCCAGGACCTCAAATCTACTGTGACCTACATCTCCAGTCCCTCTTTCTCTTCTAAGGACACCAGAAAGATGAGATTCAAACAATCCCACCCCGAGGATTTCATCCGATCTTAGTTATTCAACAGCTCAAAATTTAAAAAAAAAAAAAAAAAGTTAAAACCAGAAAGAGCATTGCCTTAAAGCACAGTGCATTCTGAAGTAGGGGGTGGAGCTTCAGCAGCTGAGTCCATAACAGAAGGAGTAACATAAATTTTATTGAGTGAGTCATTCTTGACTCATTTCAGGGCTTGCTGATTTCTGGGCTCCCCTGTAACTTCCTGTCATGTTTCCAGTTAGTCCCAACTGTCCCACAAGTTGTGAGGGTTCCAGATGAAACAAGATTTCACCTGAATGGAGAGAGGTCTTAAATATTTGGGAAGTGGCTGGCTATGGTGCCGAATACCTGTAATCCCAGCAATGAGAAAGCAGAGAGAGGCAGGAGGATTGGGAGTTCAAGGCCAGCGTCGGCTGCAAAGAAATGTGAGCCACTCTGGAGTTGGAGATACATGAGACAGCATGTCAATCAAATTAAATCAGGAGTATCTCAGTGCCAGGTGCCCACAGAGGTCAAAAGAGGGTGATGAATCCCATGGAACCATCTTTAAGGACAACCGTGAGCTGACATGTGGTGCTGAGAATTGAAGCTGGGTCCTTTGCGAGAACAAATGCTCTTAACCACTGAGCCATCGCTCTAGCCCTCTATCTCAGGCTGAGCTTGAGCTATCTCTCCAGACCCTCAGCCAGTCTTGTTTTATCTGCTTCCATATTAACTATTGCCCCCTATTGGGCCGGTATCAGGCAAAGAAATAGCTTGGGTTTGTAGTAGTAATTCCCATCTAAAGAAGACCTCAGGTAAGCAACTTTTGACTGTTATTTGACCTAAGTGGTATCTGCTAAGGTGCCAGTCCCGTTAGACGACATCCAAAAACCTCAGCTTCAGTTATGAACTCCCTTATTAGAAAGTGAATATTCCAATTAAATTTGAACCAGGCCACAAGCCACACCGTAACAGAACTGAGCAGACTTGCCCACTAATACAGGCGCATTTAATGAGTCCCTTTTCTTGCAGGTTGGGTTATCCAGGGAAGAGCTTTAACAGAGACCAAGTTTTAACCTGTGCACTTACCCAAAAAGACATCATTCAACCTGAAGATGGTGTGAAGGCAGTATGAATTTGGGACACAACATACTCTGCATTGTGAATCTTGGCATTTCCCCTGATAAGCCATTCTAGTTACTTGCTGGTGAGGTGGGGCAGCCACAGCTCTGAGTGATGCTAGGTGATGTTTTT